CCCCAAAACCCCAAAACCCCAAAACCCCAAAACCCCAAAACCCCAAAACCCCGATACAATAAAAAGTTATTGGATGCATATTTATGGAAATCTCACTGCTTATATATTACATTAAGATCTGTTTCTGCCTCTTCACATCGTCTGGAGTAAATGGAACATGCTCTTTTGCTGTATTGCAAGGTTAAACAAACTACTAGTCTCGATAAATAAAGGAATTGGATGTTCCACTGGAGCAAGAAAGAATTTTGGAGATGCGAAATCTCACAGAAAGTAAATTAAAATGATGTAATTTCTTATTTTACTATTTTTTTTAGCTTTACTGCCCATTTCCTCAAAAGCTGCTAAAATATCTTCCTGCTTGAAGTAAACCTTATCTTCATTGATATTATTGGTGTTGATAATTCCTTCTTCATCATCATTCTTTTGAGCTGATTCTGTAGCAGCATCCTTACTTTCCTCTGGATTTCTAGCTTGCTCAATGCATCTGTCAATGGCTTTTAGCTGAGAGTTACAAACAAGGCCTTTGAGATCTGCATAGGAGTAGTGTTCGGTTAGTTTAGCGAAAACTGAAAGATCAAGGTCGTCCTCTTCAACTACCACATCTGCTCGTAACTTCTTTGTATATAATTCTAGAGTCTCTAATCTCTCTTCAAAATTAGGGTAATCTCAGAGGATGGATTTATCAATTCTCCCAGGACGCAGGAGAGCTTTATCTATCATATCCGGCCTGCTACTTGCTGCCATTATGATATTAGTCCTGGTATCTTCAACACCATCAAGGTATCACAGGAACTGATTGACTATTCTATCAGTGACGCCTGTAGCTCCACTGCCTCTCTTCGGAACAAGAGCATCAAATTCATCAAAGAACAAGACTCATGGCTTATTTAGCTCTGCTTTTTCAAACAGTTCTCGGACTCTGGCTTCTGAGCTTCCGATGTATTTGTCCAGCAGCTCTGGTCCTTTGACTGAAATTATTTTAAAGTCCTTAGCCATGGCTGATGCCAGGAAAGTCTTGCCTAAAAAAATATCACCGCCTAACTTATATTATTACTTACCTCACCCGGGAGGACCATAGAGGAGGATGCCAGAGTTGAGCATCTTGGGGTTATCCTTAAACAGGAAGGAATATTTCACAGAATTATCAATGATTTCTCTAAGCTTCCTTTTGGCCTCAAAGAGACCACCTACGTCATCCCATGCTGGGGCTTGTTCTTTATCTATATTACCTTGTTCTTCAAGACCATTTTTTGCATCTTCTTCTATAATGTGATGCAGGAGTTCTCCAATCTTGTCAAGTTCTTCTAGCCTGCATGTGTCAAATTAGGAAAGCTTACTCGTGTTCCATGTCCATTTTCAATTTATTAATAATTTTTGGGGTTTTGGGGTTTTGGGGTTTTGGGGTTTTGGGG